CACCTGGTATGAGCTCTGATAATATTTTCTCTATAGGTATTGAATAGGAAAGGACACCTCATCTTTCTCCAAGATTATTGGAAGGCATCTCAAGCATGGTATAAATCCTAAAATCCATGGCCAAGGACCAGAAGTCACTTTTCAAAAAGGTGAAAAAGGCAGTGAAGAAGTCAAGAAAGGAAAACGTTGAGACCAAGGTCAATGTGGTCAATGAAGTTGTTGCAACGAGGAAATTCACTTTCTCTAATAGTCATCCAGCCGAATCATCAGAAGGTGCTGATGATGAATTCAAGGATTCGGTTGTGGAATCAATGACTTACACGGAGATGATGATGGAAAAAATGAGCAAAATGCTTGAAGATGACCTTTGAGGTCTACATCAAATTTATGGTGACCAAAGACAAATCATAACTATTCAATGCTCCATCAAGAATGACACTGAGGAACTCAAGGATGATATGCGCGTTGATGGAATTAATTAAACCGAGGGTCTGGATTAATTAACCCGAATGAATAAATAAATGTAACAAGTATTGGATTAAAACGATAATAGGAGTACGGACATAGTCACAGGGACTGATATTGTATTAATTGACTATGAATGCTATTACAGAGGTATGAAACGTGAACGTGTAATAACAAGACAAGAAAGTGTTTAGGACACAAGATAGAACCTGCCCTTAACAAGCTAGGCTATTTATGCAAAGGAAATTCCAACCAATTACTGCTAAATTCTGCTAAATTCGTGGAGGGCCACGAGACTAAGTCAAGGTCCATCATTCTGGGCTCGTAGGTAAGCTCCGGGCTTGAGACTCTTATTGGGCTACTCGGGTTATACATTCCCGGACCCGGGTCTCTATTATTATTGGGTCATTTCCAATATATCCTTCATTAGTCTCCCACTCTCTAAGTTGCGAGAAGTCAACAACGAGAGAGAGTAAACATTTGGCCCAATCGAAGCGGCTTCGAGGCTCCATGCTTGGATGAATGCTTAAGCTTCAACTTGAATGAAAATATTTTGCTTATTCCGAACACCTTTAAAACTTTTAGCCTTGCACTTAAATCCGTGATCCGAGTTCTCTCCGTTCGAGAGCGGACTGTCTGGACGACGCAAGGTTGTTTATTAGATTCTTGCTCACGTGATTTTTTTTTTTTTTTTTACGTAGTATGTAGTTAATTGGCCAAAGGTACTCTTGGTCCAAAATCTCTTCCGTTGGGGTTGGTACGCGAGGTCGGACCTCGTGCCCCCTTAGGGTGATAGCCCTTCGACCCAAGTCATTTGACACCGGGCCGTTAGGCTCTTCCGTCGGGGTTGGTACGCGAGGTCGGACCTCGTGCCCCCTTAGGGTGGTAGCCCGTCGACCCGAGTCATTTGACACCGGGCCGTTAGGCTCTTCCGTCGGGGTTGGTACGCGAGATCAGGCCTCGTGCCCTGTTAGGGTAGTGTTAACATTTCCGTGTTCGAGCCGAGGGCTTGACTACAAAAAGGTTCTTCCGTCGGGTAGCTAGCGGGTACGGATCCCGTGCTGGCCCTTAGGGAATGCATTGTGCGAGCAATATATATATATATATATATATATATATATATATATATATATATATATATATATATATATATATATATATATATATTTACTGTTGCAATCAGAATTGGCTCGTCGATCGTAACTCGGACTAATTTCGCATCGTTGGACGGACCAACGTATATGTAATAAGTCAATAATAGGTTCCTCCATCATTTGGTGAGCATGGACGGACCCGGTTCCACCACTAGTGAATGCCAAGGTCGGGGCCGGTACGCACGGCCACGACCACGGATAGGATTGGTTATCACACTTATTAGTGCTACTAAGCAAGGTTGGACCTCGCAGTAATAATAATAAAACAATAATAACAGTATTAATATTAATTAATATTAATAATATTAATAATAATAATAGCAAAGGAAGTTAACAAACCATGCTTTTCCACGGCACAAGCTTATTCAATTCCTCTGGATTCTCCATCTTTTTATGATTTTGAAACCGATTTTAGAGTAGCTTAGCGTAGCTCGTTCCACATTGTTGCCATGGGAATTTCCATTGCCGTTATTGGTTGCGAAATATCTGCTGAGCTTAAAGGATTGCCATCGGCCTTGCTATTCAGGTTTTGTTTTCTGTAGCACTGCAATTTTCTAATATTGTATTGCAGACCATTGAAGTGTTGTAGTCCAATGACTAGAGGTATTGCAAGTACTCTATTCCTCTCATATTGTAAACCTAGATTGGGACTATCCGCGCTGCAGAGATTCGCGACGCTGTCACCGTAGTCAAAAGTATTTCTGATATTCGTCGCTGAAGGGTCAGCTTGTGTCATATTTCCAGGCCGTCATGCCTAGCACCGCACCTGCATCCTGTGTTTAACCACCATGGATGAGACATCCCCCTCTCCCTCGTATAATTATTGAGGGGAAAAAGCATCCTGCCAAGGTGATCAAACACCTTGAGTCGTTCTATGGAAACTGATTTATTATAGATTGATAACTCCTGGCCACACTGTGAAAACAGTCTCCGATTTGCGGAGGTGTACGCCGGCGGCGCAGGTAATATGAATATTTCAGCAGTGGGAGCCTGGGTGGAGTTGATATATACCATCAATCTTTTTATCATCCTCAATATATATCAACAATGGCCGCGAGTATCATAGTGGGAAAAATAACGTAAAAAGCTTGTATGATGAAATCACTCCCACTCCATGGATCCATTTGACAATGTAGCCTTGAGAGGCACTGCTGAGACAACACACTATCTTCCCACCTTCAGTTTTTAATTTATACTTCAATTCTTCAAATAATCACAGACACTATAATTTCCTGGGCATGATGTGTCATTATCTTGTGCAAGAAGACCACTGACCAATGGATACATTTTCTCCCCAGTTCGAATGTGTTGATAGAGACTCCACAAAGCATTTCTCCATTTCCCTGCTTAACGTCATTAAAATCCCATCCTCTTCAAAATCTTCTCCTGCTATTCTTTGCCTCCACCTTCACTAATATGATTTATCATCTGTACAACATCTTTGCTTCCATTTCAGGGATGTTTTTATCATCACAAAGATTTATATGTGGGAATGCCTACTAAGCAGACACACGGTGGAAACGCCCTCAAGACAACAACCCAAATTTTGAAATGGATCATTCTGCCTCCACCTAGGAAATTGCAGAGAATGTGGGTGTTTCAGCAATGCATGCAAATGCAGTTGATGACAAACAACACAGTTGTATGGTACGACACCATAAAGCTTGGTCCCTCCGCACTCAGGCACGATCTCGGATGGTGCAGAAAAGCTCCTAACGGTGCAGGACAATATTGCATGGTGATAGCACAGAGAACAGTCAAAGCCGGCGAACCCCAGAATCGCAATCTTGAACCCTGCCGCTATCACCCTCGGGGCTGTTTCCGATCGCCGACACCAGGCCGGATCTGGACTGAAGTGGCAAAATCATCATCCATAGCTGTGTTTTGGTTACGTGGAAAGCCTACGAGGACGACCGATCGCAGCCAATCGAAGAACCCATGGCCAAATCTGAGGCCTTTTGCTCTCACGCCACAAACCCGGACTGAGATCATCCGTGCGGTTGGGATTTGCAATGTCGTCGCAGTAGTAGAACCCATCCGCGATGATCCTTCAACGAAGATCTATCGAAAAACTTATGTGTTGGGATTCCATGTCGTCGTGACCAGCACTAGTTTTGTGGTTGCAGGGATGCAGATCTTCAGCTAGTATTATTATCACACGCACGGTGGTCTTCAGATCGGATTCCGATTTGTCCGTGCCGTGCTATTTCGATGTTCGATCAGGGGTTATCGATACACGCTCCATGCGCACTTGACGCAACAGTTCTACAGAGAATGCGTGATCATCCGCACGTCAGACTTCATATTCAACGACATCGCGATCCTGTTTGAGAGTAGCGGAATCTTGATTCGCCAAGAAGGGTCTCCCGCATCAAAAGAACACTATCACGCGCATTATTGGAAATACCTGGCAGAACCGATTAGATTCTCCATCAATTTTCAATATCTCAGCGGAGCCAGAGGTGATGGCTTCCGGAGACTCCATCGCGTCGTATCTTGAATTGGGCGGTCATGGAACTTTTATTACTCCCACACGATTGCCATATAATTGTACATGAGCAATGCAATTAGCTCGAAGTGCTATGGAATTGCATTGGATATTTGGATCTTGCCATTGTTTGAAGGTTGGTTTTGTAGGAAATGTCGATTAAGGAGAGCACACTTGAGCTTGTACAGCCGCTCTCAACAAAATCACTAATGATGGAATTAATTAAACCGGGGGTCCGGATTAATTAACCCGAATGAATAAATAAATGTAACAAGTATTGGATTAAAACGATAATAGGAGTACGAATATAGTCGCAGGGACTGATATTGTATTAATTGACTATGTAACGCTATTACAGAGGTATGAAACGTGAACGTGTAGAACAAGACAAGAAAGTGTTTAGGACACAAGATAGAACCTGCCCTTAACAAGACAATTACTAGGCTATTTATGCAAAGGAAATTCCAACCAATTACTGCTAAATTCTGCTAAATTTGTGGAGGGCCACGAGACTAAGTCAAGGTCTATCATTCTGGGCCCGTAGGTAAGCTCCGGGCTTGAGACTCTTATTGGGCTGCTCGGGTTATACATTCCCGGACCCGAGTCTCTATTATTATTAGTTCATTTCCAATATATCCATCACGCATAATCCATCAAAGCCTCGGTGATCTTCATGCCGAAGTTGACATCTCCAACCATGGCATTTCCTCCATCCGTTGTTACGACGCTGATGATGATGATGCCAAAAAGAGGGGAAAAGGAAACAGTAGCCAATGATTATTAGGTTAAAGCTCCATTGGTCAAAGCTCCAGCATAGGACGAAGAGTTAAGACTACCATTACCCCGAGTGGTGAAGTAATACTTTTAGTGCCGTATCAAGAAGGAAGTTTCCTAAATTATACTCCCTCAGTCCCGTAATGGTTGTCTTGTTTTCTTTTTGCACGAAATTTAAGGGAGCAAAGTAAAAGTTGTTTGTTTTCCAGTTTTGCCCCTTTTTATTTTCTCTCACCAACCACGTACTCAAGAACCCACTAGAACACTGCACACTATACACTTCTTCTCTCTCTTTGTTTCTATTTCTCTGGTTCTAGTTCTCTCTCCAGATAAGAATTCTAAAATTCTCTAGTTTTCACTCCAAATAAGAATTCTAAAATTCTTTCTTCCACGAAAATTTTGAGATCAACATCTCCATACTCATAGGAGAAGATATTGAAGATCTGTATCACCTAATTTCGTAGAAATTTCAACACATGAATAATGAGGCGAGACGAAATGCGAAAATGCAAATCTTCGTGAATCCTTTTATTTCATTGAAGATATTGAAATCTGCATCGCCAAACTTCTACTTTCATTTCATTTTGAATCCTTTATATAATTTGAGACCTTGATGGATATCTATGTTTGGTAGAATAATTGTTTTGGATTAGCTTTTGCAACTCTTTGGTTTTGATGAAACTGGAGTATGGTCAGCGCCGTGGATTTCTGCAACAGCCGCATCATCTATCACCGGGATCTCAAGCAGGAAAATCTACTCCTCAACGAACACGGCAACTTGAAATTTTTAGATTTTGGACTGTCCACTTTGCCGGAACAACTCCGGAACGATGGTTTGGTCTATACCCAGTATGGGACGCCGGCGTACATGGCGCCGGAGGTGTTGAGATGGAAAGGTTACGGCGGCGCCGGAGGTGTTGGATGGAAAGGGTACGGCGGCGCCTGGAAGTATGGATAAATTCGAAAAACAGAATAATAAATTGGGATATTGTAAAATCTCATAGGGGTAAATTGGGAAAAAGAGAATAATAATAATGATGTTCAATTTTAGAAAGTGGACAATATTTTGGGACAGACTAAAATAGAAAGTAAGACAGATAAAATGGGACGGAGGGAGTAATAAAAATCAAACTTTTCAAATTTAATTATGTGTGTTATCATTTTTGTCACTCAATTGTTTGTGGAGTGGCTTTTTTGTCCATGAATTCTGTAGGGGTTGGATTTTTTTTTTTTTTTTTTTAGGGTCATTTCACAAATATTTAAGGGATAAAAAATCTACTATGTAGACAATTTAGTGACAAAAAGTAACAATGATATAACCAAAGGATGAAAAATATTATTTTCCTATAGTTCATGAACGAAAAATATCATTTATCTTGATCATATTTTATTACATTAACTAATATGAGAAATTCAAAGTCCATGAATTATTGAAAAATTACACTTTTCATTCCTCAATTATATTTTTCATCACTTTTCATCTTTCAAATGTTTGCAATGTGGTTTTCTTTGTCCATGAATTTTGTTAGTATTGCGTTATAAAAGTCACTTCACATATAATTGCGGGATGCAAAATGTTATTCTTTTATAGTTCAGGATGAAAAATGCCATTTTTCGTAAGTAAAATTATAATTAAATATATATGATTTATGATAATGATAATACAATTATGAATATTAAAAATTTTCAACAACTAACAAATATATAATGCACTTATATAGATTTGTGCACCGAAACCGTGTTAATGACTAGATTGGATAGGATATCTAAGTAGTAGTCATCTTGTTGTTAAATCTACAACAATTGTGTATTTCAGAACACTGGACAATTAAAATATCACTCTTTATATATAATGTGTAATATATTTTTCTTTTTCCATTTAAATAATTAAATGTAATAAAGTTTTGACTTATGTAAAGTTATTTTAAACATGCATGAGTGAAATTCGAATGGTAGATATGACAATTAACAACATTCATATGAAAGTACATTGGTGACGAATTGTCCTTTTTAATTATTTTTTTTAACCACTCAAAAAGTAGATGATAATTTTAAACTTTTAAACTTTTTTTTTTTACCACTTTATACGCAATAGAAAACTTTTGGCAGTTAATTGAAAATTTTTATATTTGGTGGACAACTTTTTAAAAGTTTATTTATTCATTACTTCTTTTATATATAGAAAAAAAAAAGAAGAATATTTTTAAATTTAGCATTGATAAATTATTTTATTTATTTACTTATTTATTTTGCATTAATTTAATTGCAAATGCATATATATATATATATATATATATATATATATATATATATATATATATATATATATATATATATATATATATATATGACGATGTGTCCTTAGGTGCGGCGGTGCGGCGGAATTTTATAATACACCAACAGTGTTAACAACATGCACCAACAATGTAAAGGAAACACACCACAATGAAATGCAAAACAATACCAAAAAATACACAACAGACCCAAAAAATACACCATATAACTCACCACACCCCAATGGTGTATTTCCGAACACTGTATGGTGTTTTTTACTCACACCTAATGGTGCGTTTTTGGTGATGCGTACCTAATTTGTGTGTGTTTTTGCGGTGCATTTCCTAACGTTGATGGTGTATATTTGTTGAACTATTGGTGACGCCACACTGCCGCACCTAACGACATCGCCACACTTGAACCTTACTATATATATATATATATATATATATATATATATATATATATATATATATATATGTATGTATGTATGTATGTATGTATGTATGTATGTATGTATGTATGTATATGAATGAGTTCTAGTGCGGAGATGCTCCCATGTGAAAATTGGGTAGATCTGAGCCGTTGATCAAATTTAGATCAACGACTCAAAAAACACGCGTCCTCAAATGCATCCATCTTCTTCATGTTTACTCCAAAAGATAACAACTCTACTATTTGTTATTATACTGCTATCATATTTTTTTTTTTAGAAAAACAACGCACCTTCAGAAGAAAAACAATGCACCTTAAGAAGGAAAACTACGCACCTAAAGCTTTAGACCGACGCACTTTAAGAAGGAAAACAATGTACCTTAAGAAGGAAAACCACGCACCTAAAGCTTTAGGACGACACACCTTAAGTTTCAACAACTGACGCACCTTAATAATGAAAATCACACACCTTAAGAAGGAAAACCATGCATTTAAGTTTTTAACAACTGACACACCTTAAGCACGCAGTACAAAAATCATGCACTTTAAGAAGGAAAACCATGCACCTTAAAGTTGACCTAGATGAAAAAGGACCAAATTACTACCGAATTTTTAAATCATTGTTAATCCTGGACATTGATTTAGGCAAGATCAATTGCTCTCATCTCACTGCACCTCCGCACCTTGGCGCACCATCCGCATTTGAACCTAATTATATATATATATATATATATATATATATATATATATAAAGGTTCCCGTGCGGTTGTGCGGTTGATTAATGTGCCTAAGATTTGTAATTAATATGCGTGAATGTGTAAAATGCAGCAGAAAATATGGATGTCAGCTTCTTCCCCATCCCCAGTAGCCATTGCCTTCTCCCTGATGATGATGATGCGGAGGCGGCTATGGTGGTTAAGAATTATGGGAATAATACAACAGAAATCCACACTTAGTTGGTGTGCAAATTTTGCCGTGCGTGTGTCATCTATATAAACATTTAACTGCACTGAAGGTAGCTGATAATCCAAAATCCATGGCCAAATTGAAGGAAGAAGTAACAAGAAGCTTGGGCGTTAATGTGCGTGAGTTTTCTGTTCTGTTTCCTTCTGAGCTCGTAATTCTGAAATACTCACGCACATGAAGCACAAATCTCACGCACATTAAACACAATACTCTGGCACATTAAGTACAAAACTCACGCATATTAACATGACGCACATTAAGTACAAATCTTAGGCACATTTAGTACAAATCTCACGCACATTAAGTATAAACCTCACGCCCCGCACGGGAAGCAACAAATGCACCTGATCCCTTCCCTCTATATATATATATATATATATATATATATATATATATATATATATATATATATATATATATATATATATATATATATATATATATATATATATATATATATATATATATATATATATATATATATATATACCCTCAAGCGTCAAGTCGGTCCCCCGCGGTATAGAGCTCTGCATTTTTATCCGAGCGAACCTATGTGACTATCCACAGGAGCAATGAAACCAGCTGCCAACCCAAACCACCCTCATGCGTTGGACAGATCCCCTCCGGTACAGATCTCTGCATTTTTATTCAGGGGAACCGTTAATAGTCCGCCACATGAGCAATGGTGCTCACCTCCACCCACCCTTGGAACCCAGGCCACCCCCGTACATATAGAGCTCTGCAATTTATCGCAGAGGGCTTCAACGGTCCAAAGTCCCAAGCGATGGCTCCCTAACCACGGGTGTCAACATATATACCACCCTTAAGCATCAGGCCAGCTCCCTCGGTATAGCGTACTGTATTTTAACCCAGAGAGCCCATATATATATATATATATATATTTCAAACACATCGGAAAAGCAGGCAACAGTCTAGATCGCGTACAACATGCTATCTTTTGACAACCACACCCTCTCAATCCATATGATGTTTGTAATTTAATTTCCACCTCTGGGAAGACTTTTGTGAAGACAAGTTCTGGTCTAAAATTGTTCAGTTTTCTGGCTGGTGGGACACCATCAACTTGTTACCTCTCATTACAATGCCAAGAATTCAATGTAGCTACGGCTTGTCCCCCGATGAACTTATCATATCCCATAATTAGATATTTTTTTGAATGCCCATAATTAGATATATTACCTGATGAATATCAGATGCACTATTGCATATATGATTGTGTTTTTGTTTATTCACTACTTTTGGAAAAAGATTGTGTGTGTTTAAGATCAATATATTTTAAGATTGTGTGAAGGTCTCCCCAGGTAAAAAATGGGCACAAATCTTAAATCCATTCAGATCTAATGTTCTTCAAAAACAAAAAAAAAAATCGAATTAATAAAAATGGTGCAGTTGAAAGCACAAAAACATGTACTTGAAGGCACAAAAATATGCATTTGAAAACAAAAATTCTGCACTCGAAGGTAAATTGATATGCAATTTATGGTACCAAAAAAGAGAAGTTATCCAACTTAAGTGTTATTAAAATTAAACAATTACCCATACAATCGTTTGTAAATCTCACAAATTTCATTAGAAATTAGTTATAGATTATTAAAAAGAAGACAAAACATATGATAAACACTCACCCATAATTGTGCACTTGGAGGCACATAAATATGCACTTGAAGGACAAAAATCTGCACTCGAAGGTATAAATATGTTTAATCGAATTGAAGCAATTTATGGTAGCAAAAGTAAAGTTATTCAACTTAAGTGTTATTGATACAATTACCCATACAAATCGTTTATAAATATCACAAATTTCATTAGAAATTTAATTACAGATTATTGAAAAGAATGCAAAACATATAATAAACATTGACCAATAAATATGCAATTTAATGCACAAGAATATGCACTTGAAGGCCAAATGTTTGTATTCAAAGGGAAGACTAAATACTAAGACCAGTGTTGCAAAAATCGCGTCTAGGCGGCCGAACCCCGGATTTTTTAAATAAAAAAATAAAATAAAAATAAAAATAAAAATAAAAAATCAGCCGCCTAGAGGGCGCGTAGCGTCTTTTTCAACACTGACTGAGATAGAACTTGTGCACTCAAAAAAGAAAAATATGCACTCGAAGAAGGAAAAATGTGCACTTGAAGAAGGAAAAAATATGCACTCAAAGAAAAATAACATCTAAACTTACCTACTCAAAATTACAACAATGTCACCGCGTATTTTTTAATTATTCTTTATTTTGAATTGTTGATTGTATTAGAGATCTATAGTTGAGATTTAACTCTATTTTTAACCTAAAGTATTCCTTTGCATTTATCCTTAAATACGTAATATATTATTATATATGAAATTTTTTGAAGGTTGAGATAACTTGTTCTTTTGATAGATCTAAAAGGTCAAAAAATTACGAATTGCATATGTCTGATCTCTAGCAATCCCCAATGCACATCTTTTCATTAGAATTAAAAATATGATTTGTGATATTTATTCCTAATTTTATGTGTGGTCTTTGAATTTTTAACTTTTTATTTAATATTAATTGCGGCATTTATGACCTGTTATGTGCAGTAATAATTATTTAAATTATTAATTAATTGATGTCACATATGTTTTGTAATTTAATTATGAAAAATATTTGAAAAGAAATTTTTTTTTATATGAATTACTATCTCTTTTTTTTTTTTAAATGTTACCGGCTCCTATTACAATGTATGTAGTATCTGTTCATATACTCAACCTGCCTCTACTGATGCTCAAACTCACAACCTTTCAACTGGAAGTTCAACTCGGGTACCATTAAACCACATAGTCTTGGTATATGAATTACTATCTAGTTATTGTAGTTTACAAGTTTCAATTGTGTGTCTGTTCAAATTAAAATACTTATAGTTGATCTAATTGAAATAAAAAGTATTTATGAATATCATTTTAATTAATAGAAATGATATGTAATTTTTGCAATTATTTTATTAAATTAAGTATGTTTCATACTTTATCATAAATATTTTTATCTTATTTAGAAAATTTTAATATTTTCCCAAACTAACCATATCTTTTACTCTGACATGATTGTCTTATATGTTAAAAAGTGTAAAAATTTGTGTGAGATCGTCGTCACAGGGGTCCTTGTTCGTGAGACAAGTCGAATTGGGTCGGATTGAGATGAAATTTAATACTTATACAGAAAATGTAATACTAATCTGAAATAATGTATTTATTATTTATATGAAAAAAATGTCATACTTATGCAAAAAAAAAAAAAAAATGTAATACTTTTACATTCTAATTCAAAAATATTACAATTTTCATCAAAAGTATTACATTTTTTTCTTATAAATAACAAATAATTTTTGTTGTTATTAGTTTTATATTTTTCAATATAAGTATTATATTTCAATATTAACCCAACTCAATTCACGGATAAGGATCCGTGAGAGTGAGCTTTGAAAAAAAATTGTATACCATTCAACCTAATCAAATAATTGCCTGATAAAACAAAAAATTAAGACCCAGGTTATGAAAGACAACTATATTACATTGTCATGTCTAAGTCTTGAGTCGTTTTCAAAAAAATAAATAAATAAATAAATAATAATAACAATAATAAAGAAAAGGAAGACACCTTTCTTGGTTGTCGTTGTAATGTATTTATAATTTTATTTTATATAGATAAAAGTTTGGACGGAAGAAATTCTCTTACAAATTATGGAGTAATATTTCTTGTCTCCCTCACTTTTTATACTTTTTCCTTTTATTAGTTTCTTGAAAGTGGGACAATCTAAGATTATAAGATCTTAATTATATTATTTTATAATATAAATATACTGTTAAAAAATTTATTAAAAAAACCATTATAAAACTCTATTATAGGCGGCTAGGCCAGTCAATGATGTTTACAGTCAAATTCTACGCATGACGTCAGCTTGGTAACACACAGAGGCTGACGTCAGAACACCTTGCGACTCGTTTAATGTTATCTTTCTCCAATTATATATTTTTATTATATTTAATATATATATATATATATATATATATATATATATATATATATATATATATATATATAGAAGAGCGCTCATATGCGGCGGGGTCTTACGGTGCGGCGGTGCGATCAAATTCCAGAATACACTAGCAGTGTTAACAATATGCACCAACAGTGTAATAAAAACACACCCCAATGAAATGTAATAAAACATCACAAAATACACCACAGACTCAAAAAAACACACCATATAACTCACCACCCCCAATGGTGTATTTCCGAACAGTGTATGGTGTTTTTACTAACACCTAATGGTGTGTGTTTGGTGATGCAGGGCTCTGTTTACTCTGTTTTGTGTGGTGTATTTCCTAACGTTGATGGTGCATATTTGGTGAACTATTGGTGTTGCCGCACCGTAAGAAATAACCGCACCGTAAGACACTGCCGCACCTGAACCCGCCTATATATATATATATATATATATATATATATATATATATATATATATATATATATATATATATATATATATATATATATATATATATATATATATATATATATATATATATATATATATATATATATATATATGTGTGGATCTGATGAGAATGGTTGATCCAAAAAGTAGGCATTACTGGTTGAACCATGACCAACACAATTATGTAGATCATAAATTAAAAGTATATTATTTATGTATATTATTTGAAAAAAAAAAAAAGAAAGTAAATTATTAGTATATTGTCAAATAATGTATATTTAATATACAAATAATGTACTTTTAATATATTAAAAATGTACCATATATTCAGAAAAAAGTACATTATTTGAGTATTAAAAATACATTACTTTATATAATGTATATTCAGTACACAAATAATATACGTTATTATATTAAAAATGTATTTTTTATGGTCCACACAGCACTGTGTAGACCATGATCCACATAATAATTTGTCAATGCATTAAGACGAGTCTCAAAATAATGGCGCAATCCATACAGTTGTATGGACCACTCTCCAAAACAACTTCGTTGAATTTTATAAGTTAGAATAATGTACTTTATGTGTTAGAATATGTGTATTAGAATAATGTATATTATGTGTTAGAATAATGAAACTTCTGGGATAAGATAATGTACTTTATGAGTTAGAATAATGTACATGATACTTTAAATAATGTATATTATAAGTTATTAAAATGTATGTTACAATGGGTCACGTAAAAAAATTTGTGTGAAACGACAACGTGTACCGTGACACGGTCCATGCAATAGCAATACCATAATCAACTTTAATTTTTTGTAATTGTAAGATTAGATTGGATCTTGCATGATAGACAATTTGCGCAAATTATGATGCACACGGTTGCAAAAATGACGTTGTTTTGACTAAAAACGCGCGTCCCACTTAAAAAAAAAAGGTTCGATTCCCGACAATAGCATTTTTTTTGTGCATAATTTGAATTATATATCCACAAATTCATAACTATATATCCACAGTGAATGAATAACACAAAATCCAGAATGAATGAACTAAATATTCATAAATTCATAACTATATATCCACAAATTCATAACTATATATCCACAATAATACTGTTGAGGAGAATCAAAACTGAATTTTTTTTAAATGGAACGCGCGTTTTTAGTCAAAACGACGTCTTTTTGCAACCGTGTGCACCATGATTGGACAGCATAACTACTGGACAATTTGACTAATGTATTCGTTGGGCCTAAAACTGTGTGCGGACCATGTGGGAGTTGGAATTGAGACTAGGGGCCCATATCATTTACTGGGCCAGGCCAGAAGAAACTTGGTCTCAAGTCTGATTTTACTTGGGATGATAATTTATGGCAAATTATGTTGTGCATCCGTGTACATCATGCATGGTGCAAACAGATGCAAAAACGGTGTCATTTTACTTAAATAAAAAAATTATTTTCGATTGCCGTTAATTACGTAAACATTTGTTCATAATTTTATAATTTCACATTCTGAATTTATAGTTATGAAATTATGGATGTGTAGTTATGCAATTCTGGATTTATAGTTATGAAGTAATGGATGTGTAATTATGCATGCAATTCTGAATGTATAGTTATGAAGTTATAATTTCACATTCTGCAATGCATAGTTATGAAGTTACGGATGTGTAGTTATGCAATTCTGAATGTATAGTTATGAAGTTATGGATGCAATTTTGAATGTACAGTTATGAAGTTATGGATGTGTAGTTATGCATGCAATTTTGAATGTATAGTTATGAAGTTATGGATGTGTAGTTATGCAATTCTGGATTTATAGTTATGAAGTTATTGATGTGTAATTATGCAATTCTGGATGTATTATGAAGTTATGGATGTGTAGTTATGCAATTCTGAATTTTTTTTTTTAAGTCGGACGTCAAAACGACGTCGTTTTTGCAACCGTGTGCACCATGCATGGTACACACGGTTGCACAGCATAACGCTCCATAATTTATGGCAAATTATTTGTATGGACCACGATTTAAAATGACGTCGTAGAATTTTATAAGTTAGAATAATATACATTATGAGTTAGAATAATGTACTTTAAGTGTTAGAATAATGTATTTTATGTATTAGAATAATGTACATTATGTATTAAAATAATGAAACTACTAGAGTAAGATAATGTATTTTATGAGTTAGCATAATGTACATTATGCTTTAGAATAATGTACATTATGAGTTATAAGAATATTTGTTGCAGTGGGTTGCGTGAAAAAAAAAAAATATTTACACGAAACGACGTCGTTTTTGGACCGTGGTCTACACAGCTGTGTGAACCACAGACCACGCAATAACTATTGATAATAATTCCTAGAATATTTCTAAATCAAGAGCCCAATTCTTTGAACTAGCCCATATATTTATTCTAAGACATTTACTTCCTTGTATTATGAACTTTTCCTTATTCTTGTATATGTATAATTGTTATATAAAGAACCAAGCTCATTGTTTATTAAATCCTTATACCCTTATCTATACATATATGTATATCTATATTGTATTATATAATGAAGGCTCAACCCTTAGCTTATCCAGACAAATCTCTCTTCCCTATTTCTCGTTCACGCCATTTCCATCTTCTCTCCTTCAAGAAATTGATTTTCATTTCCTCTTCAATATTCAAAGCAAGATTCCTCCTTTATGGTATTTCAAGTTGGGATATGGTAAGATCCTAACTCCTACTTCATCTTCCTTCTCTATTTCACTATCTTTATAAATCTTTCTTCTCTTTCCTATGGTGGGTTTTGGGGGTTTTAAAATGATCAAGGTGAGGAAGGCATGCTAGAGTAAGCTTGTGGAGTTTTGGTTGGATAGTTAGCTTAAGAGGTAACCCTATGTCAAAGAAAACCTACTTTCACTCTTATATATGTATTGTTGATGTTCTTGACATTCCCTAAGCATGTTCTTGTTGTTTATTCATGAAATGTCTCTTGTATTCTTGAGGTTTTCCTTGTGTTTTGATGTGTCATTCTTTTACTCTTAGATTCTTGTTGATGTTGGTGTATTTTGTTTGAAAATATGATGTTATTCTGTCTGATCTTGCATTCTGTGTCGAAGTCTGAGAGCTACTGTTTTTGCTACGTTTTTTACCTAACGGGAGGGACTCACGGGGCCTGCACGCCCGTGGTCCACCCCCGCTAGGGTATTGAGGGGGAGATTTGTAACACCCCTTGTTACGGCCTCTAATCCCGGATTAATTATTTAATTGATTTCGTTAAATAATAATTAGAAATGATTTAATTTGGTTAGGATTTCCTTTAATTAATTGATGTGGCCCACCGTGGTTCATGGACCCTATCCTTAAACCAAATCCTTAATCCTATAAGAAATAGGATAAGTGGACCCTTACTATTCAGACCCTAGATGGGACTTCTAAATCTATATATAGGGACTTAGGAAGCATTTAGAAACCCTACCACAGTTAATTCTACCACACAAGATATTCCCAGAGAGAAACCTACAGAGGAATTCCCCTGCCATCAAACGTAGGAGAATCCACGGAAAGAAGATCTTA